TGCCAACTCTTGGGCTACTCTTTTACCAACAAATAATGGGATTGACCGTCACATTATAACGCCCCCACGGCTGAAAGTGTGGGAGCATGTTTGGTGTGACGGGGATTCGAACCCGCGACCCTCAGATTGCGAGTCGAGTGCTGTAACCACCTGGCCATGCCGGGCCGAGTTCAGTTATCAGAAGATTCTATAAATCTCGAATTTTTATTTTCCTACAATATATATCAAGGGTACAGACGGTGGGGGCTTCCCCCAGATTTTCAGTCCTTAATATAAAATCAATCATCCATAGATACCATAGTCGCTATGCACGCATTTATTTTTAACTATTATTAACACATAACCCCCCACACACACTTTTGTAATTGTACTTACGCCCTTGTTGAGGCACGAATATGAGAGTAAGTTTAAATTTGTTTTTAGAGATTTCTAATGTCACAAAATCACAACACATAAACACAACAATAGTCATTGAAAATATTTAATTGAGGAAAATATAGCGAATTTCACAGTAATACAATTTCAACTTATTAAAAGAAAAATCATTTCTTTGTCAATTTAATCAGCTGGGTCAAAATATCTCATATATTATGGCTGAAATTACAGCATTTGCCCATAACTTTAAGTAATAAATATTATATTGTAATACTTAGTTGATAGATTGTATAATATTTTCTTTCAATCTTCAAACACTTCTTGTTTTATAAACAAACTGTAAGATCAATCCCATTAGCCTAACAAAAGTTATCTATTTTTGGCTTTATATTTAGGATATTTATCATATACAAAGTTAAAACTTTTTACAAAGAAATGAGCAGAACGTAAAAAAAAGCATTAATAAAACATTCAATATAATTTTTGTGAAAGTTTGAAAGTTTTAAAAATGGTTAATACCTTATTAATGACTAATGAACCAAAATATAATATTAGATTATTTTAATGTAACAAGTCCATCCGTTTACTGGTTAGTAAATGTTTGAAGCTGATGACACAGATTAGCGTTACAATATAACTCGTTACAATATCCATAATAAATTATGGCAAAACTCGTTACAATATCCATAATAAATTATGGCAAATCAGACAAAACTCGTTACAATATAACTCGTTACAGTATCCATAATAAATTATGGCAAAACTCGTTACAATATCCATAATAAATTATGGCAAATCAGACAAAACTCGTTACAATATAACTCGTTACAATATCCATAATAAATTATGGCAAAACTCGTTACAATATAACTCGTTACAATATCCATAATAAATTATGGCAAAACTCGTTACAGTATCCATAATAAATTATGGCAAATCAGG